AAACTTCTTAAGTAAAATGCATTCTCTACTTATTAACGTAGTTCAATTACTTTCCGAAATAAAATTTATCATGTTTATTACCGTATGATATTGAAGAATAAAAAATTAAAAAATTTGCTTTAAAAAATTTGTTATGCAATGCGTAAATTAATTTCTTAATATTAAATGAATTAATTTCTTAATATTAAATATTAAATATCATACTGCTAAGCTTGTGTTGTTAAATTATCGTGATGATCCTTAGACGTTCACAAATACTTAGAGACATTACTCGACATACAATCTTCCCAAAGCCCCATCATTCATGATTGAATGAATGGGAAAGTACGTGCAAACGAGATGGGTAGTAGAATTGAAAATGCACCTGCAGAACAGAGAAAATGAAAGCCCATAGCCCGAAGGTGGATCTCCCGGTAATGATAGTTCATTCTACCGGCGGAGATTTTAACCGCAGTGAATGTGAACATCGAGTATTGGCGAAAGGCGTGTAACGAGCCATAATGAGCTATTCTCGTCCATTGAAAGCGTTAAATTGAATTAAATTACATGATCTACGTGGACTAGAAAGGAAAGATTAACGTCGCGAATACGATTGCGCGTAAAATAGCCAATATCTATGCGACTCGCTTTTAAATCTAAATGCTAAACAGGTAGATTTTAGACACAGGTGGATTTTAAGATTATAAATATATTTTTTTTCAACGGTATTCTTTTAATATTTATATTGCATCATAATATGCAAATTTATTACTATCCTAAATTTTTCGAGAAATTCTTATTGCAAGGAATTTTATTCTTCATTCCTTTCTTTTTTAAACATTTTTCTGGAATACTTTAGACTGCAGCAATCTGCGATCAAGAATTTTATAACACAGCAAAAAAATATGACATTTGTTCGGAAGTTATCCTGCGCCTATCACTATTTCCTCATCGTTTCCTCGTACGTATTCGTTTCTTGCTGTCTTATCTCAAATTGTCCTCGGTTCACATACGCGTACGTGCATTCTAGAATAGGGCGCACTTTCGGGATTTAATTGCGACCCCGTGACGAAGCCTCGCCCTGTGTTCGTTACCAGACTCTGTATGCTCTGCTGGCTCGAATTGAAAGCTTCGTTTCACACATGAACGTACACAATCATTCGTGTAACATATCTACACAGAGACAGCTACAATTTCTGCTTTTCTATCTTCCGTCGCTTCACGCGTATATGTGTTTACATGGGTGTTTGTGTCTGTGTGTGCGTTCTACGCACGGGGCAACCAAGGATTACGTGTCACAAATTGATATTACCTAGTATTGCGAACGTAGACACAGAGACAGGTGTGCACGCGGCATTTCGAGAGAAGTGTCTCGAAGTGCTTCTAGCATACCTGATGCGACTAGACGCAGTAAGTTCTAACACGATTTCGTGACAGGCAATTTGCTTTGTAAGGAAATAATTGCAATCAGTTAGACCAGCCAACGTACCGAATTTACCACCGTTTTAAGGCTTCAAGGGCGAACCGCTCTGAAGGGCAGAAGTTCACGCGCTTTCAGTCGTCGCGCTAAACACAATTCCCTCGCGCGCTCGGAGTTTCGCAGGACGCATTTTTTCTGCTAACAAAAAAAAAACAACGAAAGCGGAGCTCGCGTATCTTCTCGTTACGCGAAGTTATCACGTTATTCTGAATGAATAGTTCACGCCCTTTAAGTAGTTAAAAATGCAGTTTAAAATCAGCTTTGACTTTTTTTTTCTCGTGTATCTTAACGCGCGAGCGGAATCTCCATTTTCCAATTAAAGTTGCGAATTATCTTGAATTTTTTTCTCTTCGTCTCTCGTTGGCGAATACGATATGCTAAGTACGGCTACATTCTCAATTTGTCTACGCAATGTGTTCGTATACAAAAACATCGTTGCTGGCAAGTCTCGCGGAAAGCGTTTTGAAAAAAGATGCGGGCCTGCGATAGATACAACATTATCGACAACGTTCGCGTGAGCGAGCGGACGAACTCGATCGCCGGTGTCGATCCTCGGAAAATTCAACTTTACGCAACGGGGGTGTTCTGGAGGCGTCTGAGAGGTAGCATTATGCGCCCCGACGATATTGAAAATATTTTAAGAAATCTGTCACGCCGGAGAATTTACCGCCCGATAAAGTCGCGCGGATTTAACAACATCGGCCCGGATTATTCCACGAGGTAAAACTCGTTTCACTCGCGTGAAATCGTCGCGGATGATCGAAGAAAAATCATTACTTTTTCGTAATTCGCTTTGACATCACGTTTCATATATTTTCTCTTTTGATTATTGATCGAACTATTTCGTTTATATATCTGAAAATTAAGGGATCTAAGGTAGAATCTACGAGGCTTTGCAGCGTCTTAAATAATAAAATTAAAATCTTTACGCAGCGCCGCGAGAGCGAGAGAGAAACACCCCGTCGAATTTAGGTGCTCAATTTGCGGGTAGATTCGCTCTATTGCTTCGTGCGTTCATCTAAACTTACCGCACAAGAAGATCCCTCGTGCACGGCGAATAAATCCGCCATCGTATACGAAACGGTTGCTACGTGTCGAGTCATTCTGCGGGTACGACACAAATTCCTTTTCCCGAGTATAACGCCGTTCAAGGGAATCCCGGGTAAATAGAGTGCTACTGACCATCGTGAAAGACCCGCACATTTCGTATACGAGAAGTCAGAGCTGGTGGCGACAACGTCTCCGATCCCGACTCGTTTTCAGCCCGGGCGATAATCGTCGCTCCTTCGAATTTACGCGTATTTTTTTTTTTAGCGGATTATAAATTTCTTTCAACCGGAATTGTATCCAAAAGCGGTTTAGGAGGTTGTCACATCCATTGAGTCCTCAATATATATTGTATACATATGTAAAACTTATATAACTTTAGTATTCGGATATCATTGTAATGTGAATGTATTTATATTTTATTCGGATACGCGCGCTGAGAGGAGGAGAAAGCCTAGGAGGTATCGGGCGATAGCAGAGCAACGATGCGGTAATTTATCATAAAAAATGCGAAGAGTTGAATAATTACCGTTTTATTGTTGATGTGATTCTGTTATTCCCCCTGTACGTTTAATATAAACATATAAGCAAAATTTATCGAGTTACTATCGCGACCAAATTCTTTCAAGGAAAGAAAAAAGAAATAATCTGCTTTTTGAAGTTTGGACCCGGATCGTGGTTTATAGTCTCAAGGGTCCAGGCGATAAAGCGACTACGTTTGCACGGACAAAATGTACACGTGTCGTTGTTGCTACTGGCATCACTTCCCTTTGTCGTTACATAAATAACAGTAATCCCGGTTTCTGATGTTACATCCGGTTTGTGTTGCATACTTGCGTTTATTGTATCTGTTTACAATAAAGACCTCCAAATGCGGCAAACGCACGTTTAGCGCGCCGGAAATATACACACGTATATACATGTCCCGGAGATATCTCGCGGAATCTCGCAAACAGTGGTTGGCGAAACATTTCCCCGGGAGGTATCAAAGAATTCCTCACGACTGAGTAACGCTCGATCCGAGGGGCGTATCGTCGACGCGGGCGCGTACAACTGAACGGCAGTAGCACGGCGCGTTCAACAATGTTGCAGCTACCACCATGCTGTGTGTTACACGCCGGAAGATATTGCGGCGCCCCCGCATCGCATCGAGGGGACGTCAAGACGTGGATTCCGCGACGACCCCTGTAGCGAAAGCGTTTTCCAGATGGTGGACGTCAAACGAATCCGGGCTGTGCGAATGCGTTTGATCTCGCGGATTTTAGACACATGGCGAACAACTTGCCGTTACCGGCTCTCGTCGGATATGTTTTTGTTCCTCGAAATTCTTTCGTTCCTTTTGCCGATCTTCAACTATCGTAGTTTCGCCTTCGTTCTTCGTATCTTTGTTTATCTCTCGGAAAAGCGATGGAAATGCTGGGTGACAATGAGTTTTTGAGAGCAGTAATGATGTTAATAACTTTTTAGCCGCAGCAAATAGAAAATTGTTAAAATTACACTTATTATGCATCGTGTTGTGAAGAAATTGTCTTTACTCCGTTAGTGCACTCTTAATTCTCTTTCAAAATTAAAATAGCTATCGCTGAAATATAATAATGCAGGAAATGAATCATAATGTCTGTTTCTTAAATAGCGGTCTTTAATTTTTTATATAATTATGACACCATCTTACTATTTTTATTAAAGGAAGAATTAAATTACAAAAGAAATAACTGATTTCCGTTTCTATATTATTGAAAAGTTTATTTCGAGGATATCGATACGTACCAAATATTTAGTTTTTAAGTAAATATTAATATATAGTTCTGTGCAATTTTAACTTATAATCAAATTATAGATATTAATATTCTGACCATTTCCTTTATCATAATTGACAAGTTTTATTTTACAAGAACCATTTAGAATAAGATATCTCTGCGCGAGATATTTCTGAAATGTATACTGCATTTTTATATTAGATACAAAAATAATTGTAGATTGTAGGTACTAAAGTGTTTTAAAAATCATCAAGCATTTAAGAAAATAATTAATAAGTAACGCTCTCTCTCTCTCTCTCTCTCTCTCTCTCTCTCTCTCTCTCTCACTCTCTCTCTCTTTGTATAGATATTTAAAAAATTAAGATTAGTTTTTTAGACATTAAATATTTTTTGGCACTCGACGGGCATCTCATAAATATTGATTTGACTGTGAGGTAAAGTTATTCGTACAAGTGTAAAACACCTCATATTATCTCATATTATTACTTTTCTTTTTATTCTTGACAATTCTTGCGTCACAAGATAAGCTGGTAATAACTTTTACGTGTTTTCTTACGCGCGAGCGAAACGCATCGCCAGGAAAAGTATCTTCTGAAGGAGGCAAGTATCAAACAACCCCCTACTGCCGGAATCGTCGCCGGCATTGCGCTCGCGCAGGGCTGAACGCGCGTGTCCGTGTTCATCGTGCGGTATATACGCGATGTGGAGTAGTAGCACCGGCACCACCATCAGCACCACCAGCCAGCATTCAGCAGCAGTAGCCGCGACGTGGCTGAAGGGGCTTTCGGGATGTCGTTGTCGTCGTCTTCGTCGTCATCGTCGTTGTCGTCGTCGCGATAAGATCGTCGCGACGCGTTGTGTCAATCGTCGCCGATTGGTCCGCATTATCGTCGAGCGTGCGTGGTGCGGGTGCTTCGCGCTTTATCCCGACGGACGAAAAATCGCACCGATTAGACGTAGTGGCGAACATTCGAAAGTTCCTCGGGCGCATCAAGAAATCGTGCTCTCGTATTCGTAGTTTCGCAAGTGCGCGATTTCTTTGGAAGAGGATTCGACGAAAGGTCTTGTTGTAAGTTCGCGCGTGATCAGCTGGTACAAGTTACGACCCGGATTTTTTGTTTCGTCCGTTCTCGTTCCCTGGAACGATTTCGAAGACGGGGAAAAGTTTGAGATCGGTTCACTTGTTGGGTATGTTCTCGTGTTATACGTGCGACAACGTGTCCGAGGAAAATTGGAGGACTTGAAGCTAAGGGTTGACGGGACACGTGATTCTGAAGTTTTCTTGACAGGCGTCTGACTCCGGATTCGTAACTTTGATCATCGCGTCTGTGGCGTGCTGACGTTACATTAGAGATTTACTGTCGTCGAGATTTTTCTTATTCATGATAATTAACGTTATTCGGAAATCAATATAAAAATTCGTCTTTGTCACAATTGAAGTGGTTGCATTGGAAATAATATAAATTCAGTATACTTAATACAAGATTTATAATAATAATTTAATGCAATATTATAGAAGTTTATGTAGTTTTTTGATGTATTATTACTCTTTCGAAAAATGTTGCATGAAAACAATTTTTATATTGAAGAGAAAGCATTCTTCGTTGCTGCTTGAATAGTTTTTAAGTTTTTAAGCTTTGAACTTATATTGCTTTCAGAATAATCCATTCAATTGCTGGCAATCTTTTTTCATGATATTAGCGTCTCGCGAATCTGTTTCTGCGCAAAATTGTGACACAACGGAAAACGCTATAATTTATTGTATTTTCGCAAGAAAATGAGGCTTAATGCGCGCAATTCTTATGCCATAAGGAAAAGACGCGCTCTCTTTTTTGGCATTGATTAACGATTCGGCGTTCGTTCGACTCGAGCATGAATTCGTACGAAATCCGGCGGCGTGCAGGTCGTTCGATAGATTTATGACGTACATTGACGATCGTTTGCTCGGCGACCGCTTGTCCCGGAAGTATAATATTTCCGAATCGATCGTACGTCGCCGATCAGAAGCCGCGAATAATCGCGTTGTCACCGGCGTGTACCGTACGCATGATTATGCCGATAAATCTTTGCTGTTTGATGCAAAGGGCAGACGCCGCGATATTCTGTTATTCAACAAAAGCTTATTCAACGAGAAATTTAAATATTTTCTGGAAATCGGAGATTATTAAATACTAATCTAAAATCAGTTGATAGTTTATTATTTGTAAATTAACTTTCAGAATAGTTTCGCCGATCGTGTTGCGTGTATTATTTTTGATTTATATATTTAATTAGGTAAAATCCGGTTTTATTTCTTTTCAGATATAGTTAAATAAAAAAGCAAATGTAGCCCTTTATTAAGCCCTTTCTATCAAGCACGAAAGAAATCACGCGGTTGCAACGTCGAAGCCATCGACGCTAATCACTCATTCTGTCCGAAATCCACCGCCGTACGTAAACATAATTGAAAAATACCAGGAGGGCAAAATAACGCACGAGTGCTTCAGCGGCGATCCATTCCGGCACGGTGGAAACAACGGTGATTTTCTACGCGATTTTATAGTACGGCGAGAGGACCGTCGCAAAAGTGCAGTGAGATAAATGTTTCATGGACATCCGGACATCGCATTGGTAGCACCGTTGACTCAACGATAGTTGCGGCGCGGTCGAAGGTGGTTCGAAGATCGTCGACGGTATGTCCCCGGAAATCCACGGACTCCCGTGAAAAAGTACGTATTATCTCTCGTTTAGGGAACATGCGAGGCTAACGTATCGGCGATTTGGCGCTCTGCTCCCGGGAAGAATTATAGACCAAGCCGATCGTGTAATTCGAAAGTGCCTATTTATTAAATCTAGTCGAGCGTTATGGGGCGCTATTGTTACGGCCGCATTCTGTTTCGTCGTTCGATTATTATCTTCCGGTTTTGTTTGTCGTAGCAATTTGGATGTTTAATCGAAATGTCACGATTAAATGACGTACATTTTTCACCCTCGTTTTACGATGACAAATTAATGATTTATGCGTTACGTATGCGTATTTATTATTATTTATGTCGTTATTTTGCTTGATATCCTTTTGTTACGAAACGTCATTCATATGACATCGTTATTTAGGATGATTACTTTGATCATTAAAATTGAACATACCGGATTTTTCATATTTTTGTATTCATGCGTCTTTGGAAAAATGCCGCAGGCTAACTCTTTGAAAATGTCAGTGTAACATCACTGATCTTCTCATTTCACTCCTCATTCTCTTGATACCACTCCAATTCTTCCTCGATGACTTCAAATGGTCTTTCGAGTGCACTCGAGTCGAAGAGTTCTCAGTTACGAAGATATATCTGTTGTCGATCGAGTACTGTATTCATGCATTTCTCTCGTTTTGTAAAAATCTGTGTTGTCAACTATCATCGATGAGGAACTGCGCAAGCAGTGTGTATTTTTGCCGCGTATAAATTGATCGTAAGCGGATCGTAAGCGGAAAATAAACACGCATTGTTTAGTTCTCTATCGGAGCGCGCTTGTTATTATAATTTTTACCGCGTACAAACAATACGTATATTTCTGCAAGATACGATAAGCTCAAGGAAACAGTGCTCCAAAATAAGCATCTTTCATTATTGATGCTCATGTATTATTGCATTTTCGCACTACGCGTTCTTTACGTCTGAATGTGGATTATCACACATAATGCAACGCTACTCGTCTAACTTGCACAAAACGCGCCCGCGGTCGTCGAGTTTCTGTAATCTGAAGATCTTGTTTGTCGCGGTGTACACAAACCCCGTTAGTAACTGCAACTTTCCTCGTTAAGAAATGCTGATCTGAATGAGCTCATTCTTACGGTCGTTCGCTGTATTTGGAAGAAACTCTCGCGAAAGAGTTTCATCTCCTCTTTGCAGTTCCTTTTTTTTCCCTATGCTTTTTCTTATCGTTTTTTCGCCTTTCTCGCCCTCGCCGCCTTAACGCGGTCTACTGCCGCCGCTCTCGACGCCGGTAGTTAAAAACTTTTAATAATAGATAAATGAGCTGAGCTGCGATTGTCCCTGCGAACATTGTTCGAGGCGCGACTGAATTCTCAATCATTTTTGTGAGAAGGTAGAGAAGATGTTAGATACAAATTCCCGTAGTGAAATCAGATGTTCTGCTTAATGAAATGAAGAATGCGATATTTTAAATGCAATATAAGTAAAAATTTTTGCCTGTAAAGATGCAGTTTCAAACACTAATATTAAATACATTTTTTAATTTTGATGTTTTTCTTATTTTGTTTTAATGTTTTTTAAATTAAAAAATAGTATTTTTTTGAGTGACAAGGAAAAGAATAGAATAAGTAATGTGATAATTTAAATTTTATATCCGCATTCTGTTTTATGTCCGCACTACAATCGAGCGTGCGTACGAATCAGTGCAGTGATAATTACATATGCGTCTATTCACGCGCGTGCATACTAGAGTGTGGTTTGGATCGTGTGTCAGCAATTATCCGAGGTACAAAACGATACCGAGAATACGCGCCGCTTTTCAACCCGCTCACTTCCGGAATGCAATTACGAGTGTTTTGTCGCGTTCTGCGCGGCGTGTTTGCGTTCACGATTTGTCGTGGAGTTTTGCGCGGAGATCCATAATAGCACCGAAACGAAATCGCAACGAGACGCTGATATTGAGGACGCAACACGCAATAATACGTCTTCTGTCTGTGACCGGGAATTTATGATTATATCCGCGACACTTCTAAACTTCCCTGAGCGCGCATCTCGAGCGAGCTTGTATGCTAAAATTGGAGCTATTATAATTAATTCTGAATTTTTCAGCAATCTTACGATATATAACGTGGAATTTTATATTGCGACATTGTCCAGTTCTAAAAAAAGTTTATTTAATATTTCGAAATAGGTTTAAATATCTACAAAAATATTTATATTGATTGGTGCAAAAAGTTTGTCACTCTTTCGTAAATGTTTGCTTCAAGTTAGTTGAATTAAATAAAGTTATTGATTTTCATTCTAAGAGCTTGAAGTTTTTCAAATCTGGCAAAAAATATATTTCTTTCAAAGTTTTAATATGAACTTTTTCCAGATAGTACTACTTTTTCCTAGACTTTAATATACTTTTTCTAGACAGAAAACCAATAATAACGATATTTTGATTAATAAAAATTAATTTTAGAACAGTGAATAATTCTGTTTGAATTTTACTTGGCACAAATGTGACAAATTTTTTGTATTACCTGATAATTTAAATAAGACAAAAATAAAATTTATCTTAAAATAAATAATAAAATTAATTTATCTTGTGAATAATATTTTTCACATAAAATCAGTTTGTGATTGCTATAATTTAGATATTAAAAATAGTAGACTTATTTTTATGAAAATAGGACATTTAGTTATTTGAGACCGATTAACATATATTTTAAGACAATACATTGAAGACAAGACTTTAACAATAAATTTGTATAAAAACTAAAATTTTTCCGAAAATTGTGCAAAGCTGTATTGACCGGTTGATATTACCTATCATATCTCTTACGTTACGCTTAATTCGTGCAAATTAACAAGATTTATCGCATCAGTGATGGCGCTCTTTCAACTTTATCAGACGGTTTATTTTCTGCAGCAGAGTTTATTGCGAGCAGTCCTCGACAGACGTTCATCGAACGACTAGACTTTTCTCACCTCGCAAACTTTCAATCGACTCGAAACCATCCTTTGCTCCTTATACACACCCGATGGCAGTATAAAAATATCGACGATGGGATATACAATCGCGCAAGTTTTAGCAACTTTTCTCTTGGTTCTAGAATCACTGGATGCTAAAGAAGAAAGAGAAAGAGTCTCTCGATATTTTTCAGTATATCAATTGCTTATCTGTTTATACAACATGATATAGACATAACAAAGTGTGTTATATTCTCCTTTCATTTGCAAATATTTTTATAAAGTTGAAATTATTTGTTTTATGTATGTTGAGTTCAATTCAATCTTTTTCAGCAATTGTTAACGTACCATTTTAATTCTCATACGTGTTTAATTCTAAAAAGCCTTAAAAAGTTAAAAGGATAGACACTAGTTTCCTCTCTAAACTTGTAGAAAATTGTTTTTTTATTGTTAGTATATAAAATAGCAAAATTGGAGTTTGATACTTTGTTCGCTTAGTTTTTCTTTAATTATGTCTTTGTCGCTAATCGCCAGTGAGACAAGAAAGCCGCTTCGGACGAGTACCAAGTTAGATATTGGTGATCGTACAGCAAGAAGTCGTTGTAACGTTTCTTCTGCCCCAGCTGTTTTTCTCACCCGTGCTTTTATGACGGTGGATAATAAAAGTAATGCCCGTCGTAAAGAAAATAGAGACGTTATTTTGTATCGAACGTTGCGGGTTCACTATGGCCGAAGCTGTTTCTCGACTCATGATGGCAATTGTGTCGATGTTTTCGGGTGCTTTTACGTTTACCGCATGTGATATACGAGTTCGTTACGTAGGTTATTAGTCTTTTACTACGTCGCACGCCAAGCGTCTAATATCCATCAAAAAAAAACATTGCAAAATCATCGCTATGATAAATTGGTGACAAATATTATGGTTTGTATTTAGTATCTCGTGTAATACATTTTGTTTGTATATGAGAATATTTTTCATAAACATTCTGGATTACACATTATAGAATTTGAATTTCCTTATTATCTACACATTCTGCATTTAGGATGCGAATTTATTATTTAGTTTCACAGCGTGATGTATGATATTATTATGCTCGTGGTTGTTATTATTATTAGTAGTATTGTTTGAATATTATTACCACAAATTAATTATCATAATCGAGAGTCATTTATGATAATATCACTAACCTTGATTTGATTCGCTCAATTAATTAATGGATATATTATTGCCCGAAATATTGAAAATCCGTATATTATAATAACATAAATTAGTGGTGGTAAAGATGTGAATAAATAATAATAACTTCTTATTTATTTCTCCTAATTATTATTCTTAAGATTAGAGTGGAAAATATGTCAACTTTTGTAAAAATTATTTTGACGCTCTACAAATATAAAAATATAATATAAAGAATTTGAAAACTGGGTTGGATATAAATATTTTTCAACGATGTAATTGCTACAGTAAGATTTATTATTGCAAATCTTTTTTTTATCAAACATTTGTTATTATCGAGAAATAAAACAATTTTATTTTATCTTGAAATATCCTAGAAAGACACTATCGGTATTATAAAACAAAGTTTGTCTATTTAAATTTCTATTATCGCGCGAAGTACAGGGATGCAGAGAGAAGTTTAGTTTAGTCAGATTGAAAATTTACGTGAGAATTCACGGCGACACGTCGACTGATTAATTTAAGTGATTTAAGTCGATAAACTGATTTCACCATTTCTCTTTCGCAAACGTGACAGTTTCGAAAAATTTAACTGCTTTTGACATCGCGTGTTTACTTCTCGCGATTACACGTTGTTTCGGGAAAACAAGGCGGCGCGCGTCGTCCGATTTACGCTTATCGTCGACAAATCCGGCAAATTCGAAGCGCGTCGCACCGTCACACTGGCGCAATGGGATTGCAGACGCGTATAACGGAGATGGAAGCGCTAGAACAGAGTTAGGCGAAGGAGGAGGCGGCAGTAACGACTGTCGCATGATACGGCGCAACGGCGGAAATGTCGCGAGCGGCCGATTTCCCGGATTGGTTTGATGCTTAATGAACGCCGGCAGACGTTTTGATTTAGAGGACAGTTTCGTTCCGAAGCGGGACACAATAACCACCAATTTGTAAATCGCCTCGTAAATCTCGAGCGTCGAGTGCGACGTAGCGGTGCGACGCGCCGCGGCAAATCTCGACTTGTACTACTAACGACCGTCAGTCCAATTGGATTAAACTATCGGCGCGCTATTGAAAGAGATCGACTGACACTGCAGCAATTGTAAACAGTAGATAGCGCGACAGCAATATAATAATTGTTATGGCGCCGGAGCGAAATCGCGAATGATATGGCACCACTTGGTAATTGGACCAATTTCTGGAAATTGAATTAGCGTGCAAACGGTTAGAGGAATGCCGTCAAATTAATTAATGGTGTATTAAAAACCGATTCGCTTACAATCACACGTATTCATATTTACACTTTGAAATCAGGCTGATGGAATATCAATATTTAGAACAGTAGGGAATATTTTTAAAGTTTTTATTTCAAAATATTTAAGCGGCTGGCAATAGCTTACTGCTGAGTGGTTTAATATCAAAATTTTGTTTCAACTTTGGTATGAATCTCATAACTATTCGGCGTTCAGTCTCTAGGATGCTCGTTTCTCGTGCGGTAAACATACCTGTGTATGCCTTCAAAGTTTAGCATGCACTAACTGCGGTCTTCACCGGGTAGACGTGACATAACACGAAGATACCTAAACTACTTGACTCCTTGCGTGACACGTTTATGTATTTGCATATAATCAAGGTGTCGAAATCTCAACGTTTGCAGTTGCACTTATTCGTATGCAGGTTTTTTCGAGAGACATCGTACAAACTTATGATAAATTATTCGCTATCTATTTGCAATTTTATTAAATATAAAATTTTTTATTCAGATTTCCAAATAAAATCTTAATAATAAATGGGAAACAATGCGTATAATAATTTAATTATTCTTTGTATTATATTTAGCGTTGTACTTATTTCGAGACGATACATTTAATAATTTTTTATGCGATGTTCACAGCTTGTATTCGCGATTATCACAATGATCATATTGTTCTATATTATTGCAAATAGAAATAGCTAGCGGCGAAATTACTTGAGGGTATTCATGCGGAGCATTTTTCGACGAGCCTGTCACGAACAAAGTTTACGAGAAAAATAGATAAAGGAACACGGGCGTTACTGTAATGATGTTACGTAACTGAGTTTGCTAATTATGCAGCGAACGCGATAGTAGAAGTAAATTCAGGGTTGTGGCGACGCAGGCCGTTTTACTCGAGTATCAACGTGGCATCGTTATGGAAATCCCCGTTATATATCTAGTAAAACTCGTGATAACATTATGAATTGCGCGTTACGCGCGTAATATTAGAAGGCTCTTTGCACTTTAAATATCCGTATAACGCTCTGCAAAAACTTTCATTGCACTGCAAACTTTATGCAGAAAATATCCAAAACTTGCGTCGACGGATTTATGTATATTGTGATAAATGGTAGAAATGATAAAAACATTTATTACAAGTTTGGAGATATAAAGACATAATAATTAGTTACAAAAATATTATATTTACTGCTAAAAGTTATTGAGAATTTAAAATTAGATACTATTAAAAAAAGTGTATAATATTATCATAAAATTAAAAAAGATCGTAGACGTTCAACAACATTTTTGCTAAAGAAAAGACAAGGTATTAAATTCAAGATTCAAATTAATTTAAATTAATGTGAGAATTTGTAATTGTGAGAAGAGATATGTGTATATATATATATATAGATATATATGATGATAAATATAAATATGAAATATGTTGCTTATATTCATTCAAATTTAATTCAGGTAAATGTCGTGTGTCAGCGAGCAATGAGTACATCGCTCGCTTATATCATTGCTGTATTTACATATTGATATGTATAAATATAAAAAGAATTCTCTCAGTATTCAATATCTCTATTTATTTATGTACGTATCTATTTATTTTTGGTAACATTTTGATATGTGTATATCTATATAAAATTATCGATAAGCTTCTACACATCGGTGACAAGTCAAATAATTATGGGTTGCCTCATTCATCGAACCATCTTTAGCTGATGTGATCTTTATACGTGGGATGCCATCAATAACCATTACAGCATAGCAATACCGAACACGAACTTAAACCATTAATTGCAATTGCATCTTGTCGAGTGGTGTACACATATTTCAAGTCCATAAGTCTGATTAACATTGGACGTTCGTTAATTACTGCATCCTCGTATTACACTGACTTAGCCATGCGTTAATGATTTCACGGCTGTGTGCGTTTCCGACCAATCGGCATATTGCAACATTGCAATATGCATTTGATCATTATGCCAGATTGACGTGTACATACGTTCTCTGCATTCGTGCATTATGCTAGATTTATATCGTGCCTTTAATGATAGAATAGGGTTATTTACTGAAAACCACTAATAACCTGCGCCATCTGTTTGCTTGTGGACAACAGCGGTATATAACGATCGTGACGGATCATATTATTAGTAATAGATATATTTTATGGTTTACAATCATTTTTATGCACTCCATTAATGTGTTTTTCTTGTCTAATTTTTTAAAATTTTTATTAAAAAAAGCTAGTTACGTCAGGAGTGTCGTAACACGGCGAAAGTATCTGATAAAATGGCCATTATTTATTTTCTCAGGACTGATCAAACACTTTTTGATCTTACAGATTATCTTCAGAACTTGAAGCGAACATCGACGGAAAATGGCGGACCGACAGAGAAGGAGCCGATACTTGACCATCAGTATACTACATATTATCACAATAATGTGCCAAGGTACGTGAATTTTATTTTGACGCTGCAATATTGGAATTTGAACGTGAGACATTTCCGAAGATGTATGACGTATGCGCATAATATAATATACTTGCAATATAATGTGATTAAATTCGCCGTAAGGCATAAACGTTCGAATATATCTGCTTTGCCTGCGATGAATTTAATTCTCTGGTTTACGATATTTACACATTAGCAAATATTACGGGATTTATTCGCATTCATATTTCGGCCTTCACGAGAATATCGCAACGCGATGATCGAATTTGTATATAATGCAGAATTAGTGTTATTTTCGGTATTTAAATATCATTTATATGGGGCGATTTCGACAATTATACGTTGAATTGTTGCCAAGAGTAAATTTGATCATCATAGTATATAACCTCGATAACGTACAATATCGAAACGTTATTGCCACTCAACAAGGCGCGATGATGTTACAATTAAATTCATGATAGCCACTTACGTGAAATTACGCGAAATGGGCTAATTACATAGGTTTGTCATGTACGAATGGGAAAGAAGTGTCAGCTGTTGGACTTGTCGCGAAACGTACTGCGATTTGTTGTTTTTCAAGACGCATGTTAGTTTAAACTGTTGCAAAAATTCGATATTTTTGTTTTTGTAGGTTTTTGCAAAATATAACAGAAACTTTTATTTTTTATATTCTATGTTCATGCAGCATCATTGATGATTCAGTATGACATATTGTTTCAAGTAAAAAAATAAACGAATAAAATAATCATTTAAGAGAATTGTATACTTTTTGAAGCTGCACTTTCATCGCGCTCTTTCAATCAGCCTTAATCAATCTTCCGCTCAGTGTGCAATATCTGGTCGCGTTATCGTTTCTCGCTCGTTCAATGGCAGGAAAGTTGAGGATATCTTTAAATCTTTCTTTAGAAGCTTGTAATTATCGCAAAATAATAGGCTAGTCTCTCCCACATCTTCTCTCATAAGACATATTAAAGAGTCCCATGATAAACGGAACTTTTATCTTTGCTTGGCTTTAGTAGCTATTCTTCAAGTTTTAAATGATTTGATGTAACAATATCTACTTTTTTCTGAAGACAATGCTCGGTTGGAAAAAGTGAAAGAGAGAATGACTAAAAATGAAGAAATGAGGCAGAATGAATAAAGACGTAAAGCCCATCGAGAGGCAAAAAGAAAAAGAGAAAAGGAAAAAAACAAAGAATAATAAAATCACTGTAAATTCCGAGTCTCATGAGAACTGACGGGAAATATCCGTATTAAATTGGATCTACGCCTGCTCATATAACTTTGTAATATTCTAATTAAGAATATAACATTCTTGTAATGAGTTTCACGAAGTTGTCGGCCGTTGTTCTTTGCTCCGCGTTTGCTCTGCAATGTTGCATTGTATGCTCGCTCCTTAGATAATCTTTATATTTATATACATGTATATATGTAATGTCGGACGGAGGATATAAAATACAATGATAAAAATACAATGATGAAAATAAAATTCTATTTCCTAAAATTCCGGTCTGGTTGAGCGACGTGTTCAGTACGAGTGCAATCAATTATAATTGCAACGATGGAGCACTCGAGTGTTGTGCAGCGTTCACTTTCGTAATTACTATAATTTTTGATTTCGCGATTAAAGGGTTTCTGCTGTTTCGCGGCTGTGTGATCTATTGCTCGATGGTGTTACATCATCGACTTCAAGATGAATGCGACACGATTTTTCAATTCAGCAATTCTGGCGTCTCGGTTTTCAGTACATTACGACCGCGACATTGTTGAGATTTCGCGTGCTTTTTGCAATAAAAAAAATGTCCTTATATTACTGTAATGGTTTCATTGACGATTACGAGCCAGCTACCTCTACAAAGTTGCGTAACTTGTTACATCACTTCGAGTTTTCTGCCTCGGGCGGGCGTTTGTGTTCGACGTGTCAAGAGCAGCGGACGTTCGTCGTTGTCTCGGATGCTGCAAAGCCATTTTCTAATTTCTATCTCACTATGCGGCTGCCGTTAAAATGTACGTTACCTTCCATTATACGACACGACCAGCAAAATAAAGATTTCTCGCGGCTTAAGTTAATAATCTTTGAATGCCTTTAGCTCAACCAAATCAGAAATATTAAGGAAAATGCTCTTATTCGATGCAATACAGAACTTCAAAAGAGAGATTTATAAAGATACCTACAGTTTTGGATAAAAATACGGAGTTTTCGGCAATTATTTTTATTAATGTCTGAAGATTAGATCTATAATATATATTCTTTCTCTTATTTTTGTCTATAACTGGTAATCCTTGCAATTGCAAGAGGTAATTATCGATTTAAAAAAATTGGAATTGAAATAGATGAAATCGATTTTATGTTCAGGTTCTATGAAAATGCTCGCGGGTGTATACAATTTTCTATACGTCAATATACAATATATGCAGCGTGCGTTTGTGTTAGCAATTGTTACTCAAAATGCTTTATGCATTGCTATCATCTTTCGACTGTAAATTGCTTTCGCTTTGATGAAATGTCCGGAATACCTCATTATCATATTACTTTAATATATTTTCTTTTACTTTCGCGTCTATAGAAAACAGACAATTCTGGATTAAACTTTGGCAATTAACGCTAAATTTAGAGTATGCCGCTGCAAATCAGATCTGCGAAAGTTTTTGAAATTATACATGTATATATATATATATATATACATATATATATATATGTATATATATATATATATTTAAGCTCGGCCTGAGCAATGCGTGCGTAATTCGTCAGCAGCCATCTATAGCAGCGAGCACCGTAATTTCGTATTGCTTTGAGGCACTAATTTAAATACATATTAATACAACGCGTGTGCGCAATATCCGTCGATGCGGCACGGGACACAGAGCAGCCACGGACGGCGGACTTTGCCGGCATGAGAGCACGACTTTGCGTGCCAGCCAATCAACATGCCGGGCTATGCATACGAACGAAGCTGTCGACGGCTTGCACAGCGAATAAATTCGAATACGCCGAGCACTCGCGTTACGCGCAATAATGTCAGTTTAGCAGCCTTGAATGCAGCAATGAGATACGCAAAATGGCGTGATTGTAGTGCGAAATTTATCATGAGATACCACTCACTTAGAAGAGATACTATTGTTGCATATTTTAATCTCAGTATTATCTTTTTTTTATGTTTTTATAACAGGATTGAAAAACTCGCACGTGTAATTGATGGCAGTTTTATGAAATAATTCTGATTTAAGTATTTTTCAAAAATACAAATTTGATTTTGACTCATACGAACAATAAGAAACAAAAAAAAGTTCTATGAATTAAAATATATCTAAAAGACTCACGTTATGCATATTAGAACTACAGTTATCAGTACTAGTTAAGAATTTAGAAAATACATTTTCTATTTCTTGCATATTCTTTTAATATCATCTTTTTTATTTATACAATAGTCTAAATTTAGCAAGTGATAAGAAAATGCATTTATTTTCTCGAAAAAAAGATAGTCATGTGAGAAATAGTTTGCATTTAAAATAGTGATCAAAATTAGTAATTTTTTATTACAATAGACATTTCATACAAAATCATGATGACTTGTTCTTTGAGTCATATTAAGATTTTATATTTGAGGTTGAGTAACTCTATAAAGTGACAGCTTGACAGATTTTCGAGTTAGTAGTAAAAGTGTACTTTGCGATAGTTGTAAGTGATAAATTGGATATGTAACTGTTAAGATAAAGTGGCCTGAATTTAAGAATAAGTACAGTATATCTGAGAGTAGTATTTTCGATCCATGACATTTTTATTTTAACTTCTTCAGTAAGTCGCTTCTCTGACAATCTATTCGATGTTATCTTGTTAAGAACAGATTATTTTAGTATCATTGCTTTAATACAATTTCTAAAATGTGTGTGATTGTAAAAACAAAGTAAAATATTATAATTTGATATTTTATATAAAATTTCATAATTTCATAATTTGATATTTTATATAAAATGTCATAATTTTATCATTTGATATTTTATATAAAATTTCATAATTTTATAATTTGATATTTTATATAAAATTTTATATAAAAGGTTTATATAAAAGTTTATATAAAATCTTAGATCCTCCGTTAATAGCGAATTTATTTGAAAGGTTATTTTGAAAGCAAAAATCTTAATATCAAAATATCCAGGCTACAATAGTTTTTAAATAAAAAGTATTTAAAGTTGATTAAACAGATTGCCAAAAACTTACGTGCTCGGACGCATAACACGCATATTAATTTTTATATTCTTACTATATGAGAAATCTCAGAAATCTGCTATTAACAAGTGATACGGTTAGTCTCAGATATCTTGTATATATTACGGTATTTTTAAATCTGTTCTTTTAATGATATTAGAATGATATTAGAATTTTAATGAATATTAATGATATTAGAAACAAATTGATTGCACGATGCGCAGCAGCGGAGTTGTGTTCATCAAGTTGATCTATAACATATATACGAAATACATCTAATTATAATAGCGTTCAAAATAATTATTCATCTTTTATCAAATATCTAGTAAAAGAATTGTCGAAAAAAACTATAATTTTGAAGATAATAATAAATATATTCAAAAATCTAATAATTATAAATATTAAAAATATTTCAAAGTTTTTACTGTGTTACATTGCATAATCTTTTACGTGCAATATTTTACAAATAATAAATAAATGATTACTTATTCTAAAGTTGTTTCATCGACGCAATGTTCTTCTGGAGTCTCTTACTTCTCTCAGTTCTCCATGCAGTTGTTCAAAGCACCTACATGCGTTTTCTCGACGCGAAAATTGCGTAATATTTTAAACGGCTCTACTGACGTGTATTTTGTCATATCAGGACAAAAATAAAATTCGCACGGATTACATATTCGACACTCTACTGTGTCCGTAACATGTAACGAAGGAAAAGGATGAGATCAAAAAATATGGGAAATAATAAGGATAGTACTATTGGAAACACATCGATACGAAACGACCTGCTCCA